CAATACTCCATCGTTAATAATAAATAATCCAAAATTATAGCAAATCCAATAATAATCCAAAATATTTAGGTGCTCATAATAAATAATTTTGGTCTATTTATTATAAACACTTAAATATACGTATATTACAGAGAAATTATTCTAGTGTCCTCCAAAAATATCGTTGACGAAATTATCGCGCAGAAAACAATGTAAGGTGAAAATGTTGTTATGAAAAGCAACACGGGAAAACAAGAAGAAAACATCGCAGTTCGTACTAGAAAATCAAGCTGTGAAGAACTTCAGTTTTAAAACATCGTCTTGCAAATCATCGGAGTGAAAAATAAAACACCTACAAATCATCGCACAATGATAACGTCGCAGATAAGGGTTTCCTCACTGTTTTTTAAATGACAAATATATTCTTCCAATAAAATTAAGAAGAGAACAAGGAAAATTCAGTAATACAAATCTGGAAAGTAAAAAAAAAAAAAAAAAAAAAAAAAAAAAAATTAAATGTGACATACTTTAATACTTAATTTGAGTTTTAAACTTCAACTAATAAAAGCTATTATTTAATTAACCTCTTTTGTAAAGATGTATTAACAGATGAAAAAGTATTGTATAAAAAAGATTAGGTAGAGAAAGGTACATAAATTTAATAGTCTATTAACTGCTATATGTAGCACTAATTTTTACTAATTTCCAGATTTTGAATATTTCTTTCTTGCTTCTTCAGTAAAAATTATTTACTTTTTCATTTATATTGTATGTTGCACATTAGAAAAAGTGACTACATTAATTAAATATTTTTATCAGTCTCCTGATATTCTGGACTAGTTATTTGTATTTTGTAATACCAGCAGAATAATTATAAATGATGTAGCGTTATATATTTCTTTTGCAGAATGTACAGTTTTTTCCAGTTTGATATTTGTTCTTAAGAACCTTACCTACGTATTGAGTGATTTAGTATATGAGTAACCTTGAAACGTTATAAACTCTTAGAAGCCTCCATTTTATAATTTTTGTTGTGGGAACCTTTAAAACTAATTTTTTTGAAACCCTTAAAACTATACTGTTCTTCCGTAGAAACCCTTAAAACTGTAAAAAGAAGAAAGAACATCAATTAAAACTGTAATTTTTGGAAATACCACAAAGAATATTTTTCTTTTGTGGAGATTTTTAAAACTTTCATTTTTGTAGAACCTGTGAAACTGCAGTTTTCTTCTGTAGGAACTTTTAAAACTGTCAGTTTTGTGGAATTCCTAAAACTATAACTTTTTTCTTGTAGTAACACTTAAAATATTTTTTATGAAATTCCTATAACTATAATAATTTTGAGAAAAACATTAAATCTGTAATTTTTTCTGGAATCCCTAAATCAATAATTTTCTCTTTTGAGGACCCTTAAAACGGTAAGTTTTCATGAAACTTCTACTATTGTAATTTTCTTTTATAGGAACTAGCAAATCAGCGGCCGTGTGGTTAAGTCGCTGAACGCTAGTAGTTCGGTCCGAGGTTCGAATTTCGCGAACAGGCTGACTGCATAGGCGTTTTTGTGGTTTTTTCCATGTGTAACGTCTATACCAGCCAGTTTCACTTAGAAAGTCCTCCTCGTAGGCATCCCCCTATCCTTAGGCAGGCAGCCCTAGTGTGCTTTGCCGTAATCTCAATACAGCAAACCAAATCTTTTGTACGAAATTAAAACAGTAATTTTTCGTGGAACCATCAAACTATAGTTTTCTTTTATGGGAATTCATAAGTATAATTTTGCTTTGAAACTTGAAAAATATACCGGAATTTTTACTCCAAAGGAATAAATGCCAAAAAACATTTTATAAATAAAATGAAAAAAAGTAATTAATTTTACTCATAAATTTACTTAATACAGTTTTAAGTAATAATATTGAAAAATATTATTTAATTATTTATTTCAGATAGTTAGTTTAGCGATCCATACGGTCATTCAAAAGTTCTATCGAATTTTGATTTTGAATTGCGGAATCCATAAATGAGTTGCTTAGAACCCCAACGCTCCGCAGAACAGAATTCGAAGACCATTGATTTAGATACATATTTCCCATACGTATATTTTTTGTTTCACAATTAGTAAGATAAATTAAATTTTTATAATCTTCTTTGTTCTTTGTAGAAAAAACATCAAATTAAGTAATATTTTGGGTTTACTTAATTTGATAGCTAGTTCTTATGTTTGATCAGAGAAATTGTTCGATTTGATCATGGAAATAAAACGTTAAATTTCAGTGAAAACCATGCATATTTACTTCGAGCTCAATTGCTTATGTGTATCTACATAAAAATGCTTTTTATTTGTTGTGATTATGTATCACCAAATGTAAAAAAATTCGACGACAGATTTTCATGCTCCGCGTCACATGTATATTTAAATCGAGTTTAACGTTTTGACACGTTAATTACCTTGACTGAGCAACAACTTCCTCAGCGGTTTAAAAGCGGTCTGGCGACGGGTTATTTGAGAAGGCGTGCATGACATTCATAATATTTTACGGTGTTCGAATTTTTGGGCACTCATGTGTATTACAGAATGTGATTAGCAAATTGGAAGAAATAAATATCTCAGCTATTTTTATTATTCCTTTACACTTGAATTTTTACTTTAAATGCCAAGTTAATGCAAATAATGCATTAGAAGAAACATAGATAGTTTTTGGATTTTAGACTTCATATTATTTTGAATTAGATGGAGAATATTTTAACTCATTTTCTATGAAATATTTTGTATTTAAAATTTTATATTTTATTAAATGTGTCAATCGAATGTTAAATTTTTGACATAAGTATTTTTCTATTTATGTATCCAAATCATCAAAAGAAAACCGTACAGAGCCCCCTACAGCTTCAAAACTTATATGAACTAACTGTGGACTCTTAATAAGTCAGAACGATCTCCTTCTATACTTATATCTTGTACAGTTACACAGTTAGGAAGTGGAAAATCCATGGTTTGTGTCCCGGTAAAGGAAAACGTAGTTTTCCTACTTTTCCCAGCTCCTAAAATCGTAATTATTCTTTACGGTGACGTCCAAATTACAATTTGATGGACGAGAACATGCCACTATTTTGATTGGTTCTGTGCCGATCTTCAATTAGCGTGCACTCTTTTTCTGTAAGTCGTTAGTATGTCCAGTTGATAAGCGGAAGATACGGGGCTCGAATCCCTGTAAAGGTGCAGTTGATTTTCCATGTTCCATGCTCCCAAAATCAATTGACTGCTTTACCTATGTCACACAGAAATTTAATTATTTTATTCTTCTGCTGATCATGTACTTGTGCACAACACTAATATTTGATTTCACGGAGTCTTTTCAAAATAATACATATAAAAATATTATAAAACTGGTCATAGCATATTTAACGAAGTGTCAAGATGCAAAACTATTATTAAGATATTTTCCTTGCACCTATGGTTAAAGGAAGTCAATCAGCGGCTCAGCGGTAATGTCGCTGAACACTGGTAGTCCAACCTGGTTCTAAGTAAACGGGCTGACTGTATAGACGTGAAAATGGGTAACGAGCCAGTTTCTTCACGAAGGCTTCGCTTCCCATTTGCGGATAACCCACGATATCTTTGTCATAATCAAATGAACCAAACCAAACCGCATGAGTAAAGAAGAAAAACCATTTAAAATGCAAAATTAATAATTAATTAGAATTAATAACAATATTTTTTTCAGTGATTATTTAAAGGGAAAACAGAACTGCAATACAAACTAAAGGGTAAGTAGAAAACTGAAAATTGTTTTCCAGAAAGTAATATTTTCGGTTAGACAAATGTTTAGTTGACTTAATTCTTTTCTGACCATTAAAAGAATTAAGAAATTAAATTTTAAGCTATCTAGGAAAGATTTCTCGAATGTGAGTTACATATTATTTACTGAAATCATGATTAAACTACGCAATGCGAAAACACCATTAAAGAGCTAAAAAATAATTTTTGTTGAATAATTTTAAGCTTTATTTGCTAAATGAATGTTTAAGTACTTGTTCTTTAAATATTATAATTCCTTTTCGAATCATTGCTATGTGTTTAATAGCTATAATATTCCCTCTTGTAATATTCTTATTCCCTCTTGTTCTTTATTATATTTACTACATATAATGCTCACCAAAAGACGCAGTTTCATTACATGTCCATATTTTTTGAATAAAGACTTGGTTGATTATTTCTTCTAATTCCGTTGAAAAACGCTAAATTTTCTGCTGCATTCTCACTTTTATTTTAAATCTAGAACTGTTTGATTTTATAAAACTGAAGGGATTATTAAATAAAAATAAAAATGCGAAAAATTACCGATATAAAAACTTCCGTAGTATTTCATGTTCATTGAAGCAATGATCCCAAAATATAGTTTGAGTTACTGGAGTTCCTAAACGATATGAATCAGTTCTTATCCAATTAAATCTATTTTAAATTAAAATTAGAGATAACTTACAAAAACTATTTAGCAATATGCATGAAGTGAGTACTTGACCTATTTCTGCACGCAGTTGTTTTTAAGAATTAGTTTATTAGAAAAAATGCGCTATATATATATCCTCATAATTAATAAAATATAAACAACAAAGCTATGATTGCAAGACGCATTGAATGCGCCGTTAAATAAATATGACTATGTCTGAAGGTTTAGGCAATTGTGCGCTACGGGCAGACTTCAAAAACCAATCTAGAAGAACTGATGATGATTTTTGATGGATGCTGTCCTCCCAGGGTGTTTCATACAAGTTTATTTCCCCTGTTATCCCACGAAACCTGTCGGTGGTATTTTCGATAACGATACTGCAGACGATCGCATCGATTTTTTTGCTCGGTCCCCCTCCGCTACAGCAGCGCCGCAGCCAAGATGGCGACGACCGTTTGACGTCATTTGCTTCCACGAGCAGTGATGCGGGTCGCCATGGTGACCGTCGGAGTCGCGCGCAGCTATTGGTTCAAGGCTCCGGTCGCCTCTCATTATCTTGGTGTGGGGAAAGCGCCCGGAACACAGGGGTGGAGGGGAACTCGGTACAGGTAGAAACCGAAAGAGAGAGAAGAAAACCGGTGCGAACCGAAAAGAGGGTGCACTGCCAGACGACTTGTGTGCAAAGCGAGTCGGCCTTTTCGCTTTCTTTTTTTACTATTACGAAGAAAAATTTCGAACGATCCGATGAGATCGCTCGAATCCGGGAAACCGCTCCCCCCTTGAGAATTAACCGCATCCAAAGAAGGGCCGAATTTCGGTGGTGGAAAAAACTCGCTCCCGATCTCGACACCCTCCTTCAAAAAAGAAAAGGGAGAAAAAAAGAACAACAGAATTGTTCGAACGAAGCGGTTCCGCATTTTCCATGAAGACCAAAAACCAAAAACGAAGCTTATAGAGAAAAGTTTCCTGGACAGCCTGCAATGGTCGTTCGACGACGTCACCTGGACCTTTCGGCCATCACCATCATCATCATCATCAGCTGTTGAAAGGAGGTGCCGCTTGCGTTCCGACTTGTTTCGTTTTTTCCACAGATTTTATTCCTTTATCGGGTGTTCCGCGATTCTGTCCACCGCTACGGATACTTTGAGGATCGTGAGACGCACCCTTTTTTTCGGCCATGGGTTGTGCAATGAGCGCCGAAGAAAGGGCTGCTTTGGCTAGGAGTAAGCAGATCGAGAAGAATCTCAAAGAGGATGGAATCCAAGCAGCCAAAGATATTAAGCTGCTCCTGCTCGGTAAGATTCTCCCTTCCTTATCTTTTGTAATCCTTTTATCTAATCGTTTGTTCCTTTCGATGTGGAGGATTATCAATCTTACAGCGTCCAACAAGTTGCAGAGTAGTCTTAGCAATGCTAAGAATCCCTGTTGGATACTAGTGGTTATAAATTTGTTACAAAATTATTAAAAGTTTGAGAAATAATCAGTTACTATCATTTTGTATTTTTCATATTATTCTTATTCTATCAATTACTAAGCTCCTATTGTATGCATAATGTAGTATTTTTTAATTTATATGATGCAAACAAGTAGTACGTAATCCTTTTATGTATGTCTGTTTCTATCCAATGGCGGATTTTCAACGTTTAGAAACAGGCATTAAACTTGTGAAAAGCAATCAATATGTTTATAAATTTTGTTTATGTGACGTTCTTATTCACACACTTCTTAAGCCATTATTATGCACCGAGAATATTTTTTAAACTTAGAAGATGAAAATAAGATTTTTTTATTAGTTAAATATTCTTTTCATTAGAATTTTAAATGACCTAGTAATATTTTCAAAATCGTATAAAATAAAGGAAAGCATATTATATTTGCTAAGATTATATTTGTCCCATTTTGTACTGAAGATAACATGTTGAAAGATTATTCTTATAAATCATCTTTCTGGTTTAAAATTATTTATAAAGAGAAATTTAGTTAATTTAAACAAATCACATAGAATTTTATTAAATTTACTTGTTAAAAATCCCAGTACTATGCTGCAAAAATTTTACATTGATATATTTGTTCCAAACTGTAAATGTTAACATTCAAACTTATAAATAAATTAAAACAATTGCATAACAAACATAATTGCTTATTTTTTATTAAAAATTGCATGCAGTTGCTGCATATTAACACAAGCCGAAATAATTATTTATTTCGCAAAATTTGATTCATCTGAATAGTCATAAAATGAAGCAAAATCATCATTAAAATTACTTAATAACTTTCTAAAACGATATAATATTTTTTTAAGTTCGTTTTTAAAATTTGCTGAAATTTGTAATTATTTTAAGTAACATTTAAGATAGTTTATCAAATAACTAGTAAATAATTATCTATAGAGTGTCTAGGTTTGAACCACAAAAGTAATATGTCACAGGACTACAGTGAAAGTAGTTAGAACCAAGTGTTGTTAAAGAAATTTATTTATATCTATTTTAAACTTCGATCACGACGTACTTCAAATGCAGAATTTCAACAATAACTAAGAAACCTTCTCAATAATATTTTCATACTGCTTCATATATTGATGGTGATTTATTTATTATATTTGTAATTTTTTAAAATATCGTTAAATAATTATATGAAATTATGCTATATAGAAAATATATATAATTTATATAAACATGATTGCTTATTTTTGATGATGCAGACTGTGTGTCATTAACTTGATACTGGCGTGAATTGAAAATTTTACGATAAAATCTTTTATACCTAATCGTGGTTCAAATTAATTATCATAAATATGACAAAATTCATAATAACTACATACTTTGGTATATTATTTAACAAAATCAACACAAAATTCGTATACAATAGACTAATTAAAACTGTAACATATTCAGGTATCTAATAAAAGAATCAAATATTTTGGAAGTAATTGTTATGAATCTAACTGAGCAAAAATATTAATATTTTGACTGGATGGGACTGGATTATTTATCATGTAAGAGTTTTGTCATAATTTAAATAATCAAATCCAGTTCAACCATCCAGCCTAATCTGGTTTTAATTCTTTTGAATATAACTAAATACTTAAAAGCCCTCACTAAAATGCTTGAGAATCGGATAGATACCGAGGAGAATTTATTTTGAGTTTTACTGAAATTTTGTATGAATATCTTGTAAAGGAAGGGTAGACAAATATACTATGGCCCATCAGGTATGCAAGATTTAGTTTAAAAATGAAATACAGAAAACTGTTACTTAATTGAGCAGTTTTTATTGATTTATAAAGTAGATATGTTAAGAATAATTATGTAACATGTTCGCTAAATACCCTTCACTGCTGTATTAGTATACTCAAACAATTTTAACCAAATTTTCGAAGATGCTTTTCAAGCCATCTCAAGCCAGTTTTCAGAATAATGCTCAGACCTTAGACTTCACAAAATCCTACATATACTTGGGCAAAACAGTGCACTGGGACCCATAATGCGACAGCCACTCGCAGAAATAAAATTTAAATGGATCAGCATGAAGTCTCAGGCAAGTGCCCAGTGGGTCCATGCTTTAGACGGCCCTGACTACATGAAAAAAAATTCATGATGTTAAGTCGCAAGATCTGGACAACTAATTAATGCCACGTTTCTTGAAATCACACAACCCGGAAAACGTTCTTTCAGCAATTTTTTTTTCTATATGGCATATGGCACTATACTGTTGAAGCTGCGTTTCTTCGAGGTCCATATCGTCCAACTGATCCCACAAAAAATTCGATATCGTGCCACAATATTGCATTCCAGTTACAGTTAAAGCTTGGCCAGACTCATTTTCAAAAGAGAACTGTCCACTTGCGCTCCAATTTTATTAACTTCAATGAACTGCAGATAGCAAATTTCCAACATTAGAGTTTCCAAATTATATATATAAAAAATTGTGGGAAACTTAAATCTGGCGTACCAGATGGTTCACTCTTTATAATGTCTTTTTCAATATAATATAATTGTTTTCCGAATGGTGCCGAGTGATGCTTTTAAATTATAAACTGCATTTAGCTAGGCATATAAATTTCAGTAGGTTAAGTAAGACTGATCTAGAAAATAAAAACATAGAGATATGATTTGAAGTAACTAATAATAGGAAATAAAAACATTTATATTTATAGAAAAATTATTGAATAGAAATGGTCTTCTGATTAAGCGAGATAGTTACTATATAGAAAATACGGAAGATATAATGCAAACAAATTAATGTAACCAAATTGTATTCCTAGAATGCAATAACACTTGCACAGATTTCTTTCAGCATTTGTTTTATATATTTTTTTTTTAAATTCGATCACCCTGGACGGTAGGATGATTGATGGAGGCTGTCTGTTTTCCGTGTCTTTGGGCTTAGGCCCGAATTCTGCATATGCATATGCATGAGTTTTGCATGTGACTGTATAGCATGTTTCGGTATGAGAGCACTTTAAATCTATCGAGATGAAAGTCCTCTTGAAAGTCCGGTGGTAGAAAAAGAGAAATACGAGATCCGTGGATCCCATTCTCCAGGTTGTTTTCTGTCAAAACTGGAATATAGCTCAGACGGATATTTCTTGTGTGGTTTGTCTCGATTATATAATCCAGTGCAACTAAAATTTAAAAAAAATGATGATGCATTTCTCATATAAATGTGTCTAGAAATAGTTAATGAGTTCTAAACTCACTAACTATTTCTACTCAGTGAGTTCACTAACTATTTCCATGCAATCAGCATTCATTTTTTTTTTTTTTTTTTGGTTGTTAATTGTAGGTAGGTACTTTTGCTTATATATATTTTTCCGACATTCTATTTTATTTAGCCCTTCTCACTTTTAATTTTATAATGACTAATTTAATTCTTTTTACATTATTTATTGAAGTAAATGAATAAAAGTTAATATAGCCATCATTATTTTGCAACTATAAATATTACATATATAAATCAATAAATACAAATTTAAAAAATAAATAAAAAAAATCTGAAAGCTTTCAGATTTTTTTTAACCTTCTCTGTGCTACTTTTATTTATTAAATTTTCTTTGCACTTAAACCATAAAATTCAATCCGACAGCAATGTCGCAAAATAAATTTTAAAATGAGCATATCTTTAGAATTTCCGATGCACAGTCTCGCGCGCTGGAGATAAATTTTTTTTTTTTTTTCCCCGTACAGTTTTGCCATTGCTGGCTTTGAAATCGTTGAGTTTTTTAATCAAAAATTCGTTAAGTGTTGGAAAATATGAAATCGATAATAAAACAAATTTCAAATTCCAAATTAGGGCTTCAACATGCCCATATTAGGTGGAAGATTATGTTATTCAAAATTTGATGGCTCTAGGTACCGTTGTTTTATCAGAATGCGAGAAACATACATAGATTTATGCAGATTCTTCATTATTTAATTTCTTTAAATATGACACAGGCCGATAATATTTGGTAGCAACAATTTGAAAAGTGAACCGACATTTAAAGTTTTTAACGCAAAATGCCAAAACGAAATTAATTCCCCTTTGGGCTAATAAAGGTTAAAACCTAATCCAATTGCCTGCTAATTGCAGCAAAAAATGGTGGGAATAATTCAAAATAAAATAAAATAAAAAATACGTTTAAAATTAATCCCATAATTCAATTCGGAGTAAACCACGTCCAAAAGCAACAACAACAACAACCAAAAATGAAAATGAAATTTACTCTTTCACTGCATCGTTATCATTGGTGCAGTAAAATACCTAAGCTAATAAATAAAACAGCCTGTGTCTCAACCAGCAGATTACTTTGACTGTTTTTCTAAGATTATTTTGAATTAAAAATTTTAAATTTTAATATGTGTTTTTATTTTTAAATTTAAAATTTTAACACTTTAGTTTGTGTCTTTGTTGAATCAGAAACAGGTTGTTTTATTCCTTGACTTCTTTCATTGCACCAGCCCCCTGATCACAATGCAGCGAAAGATGTAAATTTTATTTTCATTTTTGGTTTTGGCATATTTTGCCCCTCTGTTTCTTGCAATTTGCCCCTGTGCCTTTGGTTTTTGTATGCGGTTTATTCAGAATTAAACGTGTTTTTTATTTTATTTTATTTTGCATTTTATTATATGAGTAGCTCTGTATATCGTATTCAGCAGATATTATTATTATTATTTTGGCTTAAAATCCTGAATCGGGCTATTTGACTGGCACTTTGCCAGTATATCTGCTCGCTCTTTATCTCTGCATCACAGTATGGTTATTCTCATTACATTTCAAACATTTTCATTATTATTATGCATAAATTAGACCGAGA